GAAGGTATTCCCCTAGCGCCGTGGTTGGCAAACTGCGGCTCTCGAGCCACATGCGGCTCTTTGGCCCCTCGAGTGTGGCTCTTCCAAAGCCTTAGGAGTACCCTAATTAAGTTAATAACAATGTACCTACCTATATAGTTTAAGTTTAAAAAATTTGGCTCAAAAGAAATTTCAATCGTTGTACTGTTGATATTTGGCTCTGTTGACTAATGAGTTTGCCGACCACTGCCCTAGGGCAGCGATTTTCAACCTTTTCCATCTCATGACACACATAAACGAATTACTAAAATTCTGTGGCACACCACAAAATATATTTTTTGCCGATCCGACAAATAGGTATAATTTTGATACCTTCACACTGGATGGCTATTGTTGTGTTGGCTGTTGTCATTTGTTATTTGACAATCAAAGGGAAAAGAGGTCAATGGCCCTGACTAAACAGTTAGGTATTGCACGAGTTTTAAAATTCTTGCGGCACAACAGTGAGCCACAGCATGCTGTAGGCCAGCTGAAAACTGCTGCCCTAAGGGAAAGTCAAGGGAACCCATCCCACCTTTGGCCCAAGAGTCGAGGGGGTATGGGGGGCGATCTCTGGCTCTCCAGCAGGCCCGGATGAGAGCCTCTGGGCCTGCTCCTCCCTCCCTCTGCCTCCCACCCCTCCAGAGCCCAGAAGCAAAGGGTGGTTCTGACACTGGGACTGCCCATGACCCACTTAAAGCAGAGACAGGGCTGCTGCCCCTCCCTTAGGGGGCCTAACGGGGCAGGGGCAGGGAGAAGGCAGGGCAGGCCATGATGGCAGTGGGCTGCCCCCAGATGCCCAGGCTCCTACTGTTGAGAGCTCTCCTTTCAGGCCTCAGTGCACACTTCATGCCTGGAAAGAGGGCGCCTCCTCGCCTCCTCCTCCCGGCCAGTGCCAGGATTGGCCACAGGGCAGGTTTTCACACTTCCTGGTCACCCCCATTCCTAGGGCCACCTTTTCCTTTCAGCCTCAGAGCCCTTCAGGACAGAGAGTGTGTTCTTTCTGGAGAGATGGTTCCTTGGGGATGGAACCAGGGCGCCGAAGGGGTCGGAGGAAGCCAAGTCCAGATCCCCTCCCCCTTCTCGGGCACTTCCCAGCCCCTCCAGACCGCGCCCAGGCACCCAGGCAGGGCTGAGTGGGTTGGGATGTCCCAAAATAAGACGCTGATCAAATCCGTCTCCCACCTTCACCCCAAAATAAAAGGGAGAGAGAGGAAAAACCTCCTCAGACAACTCCCACGCGACTTCCTCCTGGCCGGGTGGGCCAACGTCGGCGAATGGGTGGGGGGCACCGGAGTCGGTCAAGACCTGTGTGGGCGCCCGGGTCCAGGCCCTCTCCCCACTCCCCCCTGTGCGACGTCCCCAGTCTCCATGCAATTAACGCAGAAAAACAATGAACAAAAACAACAAAAAAAGGCCTAAAGGCGCGGAGGGGCGGGGGGCAGGGGAGGAGGCGGCGGCCCCGGCGAGCC